ATCTTAATCCCTCCCCTTACTTAAAATCGAACCAAACAAGGGAAAACTAAAAATTTCCCTCCCCTCCCTTCCCCTCCCCTCCGTTTCCTCCGAACCAAACAAAGCCTTAAGTGTGTTTGTTTAGTGGTTTTTGTTTCTCTTGCCTGTGAGGAGTCGTGTAGGGAAACACTTGTTATGTGCTCCCACGTTATGTTTCCTTTCTAGTCTGGGCCATTAAAGGTTGTCAAGTGTAATCCGTTGATTACCGATTTGTAATTTCGAGGAGTCCGGTAATACAATTAGATATTTGACGAAAAAAAAACTCTGAAGGCAGTAGGCACTAGGCAGCAACACTTCAAATATCGAAAGTAATTTTTACCCAATTCAGCATTTACATATTTGTAGGCAGCAAGACTTCAAATATCGAAAGTAATTTTTACCCAATTCAGCATTTACAAAGTTTTAGCCTAAACCACTCTTGACGATGCTGATCAGGTATAAGTTATCAAACTGACATCAACTGTAGGAAAATCAAATTCACCAGCACGAGTGGAGGCACCATTGTAAGTAAAAAATTTCCTCACATGCACGAATTCGTGATATCGATATTCTTGATATCGATATCCCAATTCTCAACCATATTGTATGATTTCTTTACCACTGGCTGTAGCATTCCCTGATTCCTAGAATGAGCCATCAGTATACACCAAGGATCTCCTAGACTAACCACATACACATTACACATCTTTGTAGCACTGCAAAGATCCCATAATTATAGAATCTGTCCGGATATTCACATATGAATATGGAGAGATCGACAGCCATTCAATGTTCAAGAATAATGTTTCCACATACCATAGAAAAATTCGAACTCTTTCAACTTCTTCAATGAGTATACACTTAGTCAAAGGCCAACAACAAACACAAGAATGGGTAAAACAAAAACAAAAGTAAAAACAAAATTTTATCCAAATTGCATTACGAAATTAAAAAGCTAAACTAAGAGGAAAACAAAAGATTCCATGACCATCAAAGTTGAGCAGAAAAAGTTCCTAATTCCACCTTCAACAATCAGCACTTGATCGAGTAACAATCCTACAATATCACAACATCAAGACGCAATCCGTCTATAAACCGCCCTAAAAGTCTGCCCGTCATTCCTCAACACTTTCTGGCCTTCCTCAGTTGCCGAACTGAGAAGCTCCACAACCGGGTCCGCCAAAAGCTCATCCTCCGAGACTTCCTCGAACAACGGGTGACCCTCCAAACAAGCTCTCATCCAGTCCCCAAGCTCCTCCACATCAGTTATCGTGTATATAACCCCACCAACTCTGAGCGCGTACGCGTATTCGTCCAGCAAGTGGGGGCTAATAACCCTCCGTCGGTGGTTTTTCTCCTTGAAATGAGGGTCCGGGAAAAGAAAAAACATCTTGCTGAGCTGTCCTTTCTCGAAATAGTTCGGAATGTACTTCATCGAATTTGTACGAACCACAGACACATTTTCATACTGGCCCGGGTTAACTGCCCTCAGAGATAGAATTCGTTCCTTCACGTATTCAGTCACCTTGTCCCTAAGCTCCATACCGATCATGAGGGTCTCGGGAAAGAGAGTCGAGAGACTGATCAAGAGCCCGCCAAAACCGCAGCCAATATCAGCAAATTCGATTTTCTGAGAAAGATTCGATTTTTTTCCAGGATTAGGGTAATGGGCTGTGTAGTCAAAGAGGTTAGGGGAAATTGGGACTGGGAAATGCGAGTCGCTCAATGGGTTGCTGTGAGCACGCGCTCGATAGAAACGCTTACGGGGAAGGCCAGTGGTCTTGCTGTGGGTG